ACACACATATATATATATATACTCAGAGTTACACGACTCTGAGATCACAAAGTGAATGTGGGCAAGAAGAAACTGATCATGTTCAAATTAACTCTTTCTCAGACTAATTCCACTGAATCGGTGTTAATTTCGTTGACAAATTATTTTCGTCATAATGTTCGTCAACAACATTCTTTTTCACTGACGACAACGAGACGATAACGAACTAAAACTCTTTTTGAATGACAAAAACTATGACGAATATTTATTGACATTTTCATCAACGAATAAAAACAAAAGCGCAGACACTGATGCACACACACACACACACAGAAAGCGCCTCTCACAGCACAAAAGTACTCTCTCGTGCCGCATGAACGGAGAATTACACACAAAATGATGTTGAATTGTCCGTTTTGACGAGTATTCATGTAAACACAGTTGATTACGTCTTAAGTGAAGGTAAACAGTAGGGAGACCGTGTATCAGTACATTGCATCCATTGCAGCTGTGCATTCGGTTTTAAAGGGACAGCAGACTAATTTACTTGCTATTGTCCGAGTCATTGATGTTAACCAAGCAACAAAAGAAACACAGAAAATCACGCACTGCTCTTGACTGAAAAACTTTAGTAGCCCTAAAGATTAATCTAAATTTATTTACAGAAATAAATGTCTGCTTGAAAAAAAATCAAGAATGTTGTAAACAAATTGCTATAAAGAATGCATAATTGGCCTATATAGCCATTTCATTAAAAAATTGTTCTTGTTCTTTATGAGAAGTGGTTTTATTTAATTTTACCATAAAGGCATGTTGTGTGCAGAGGCGGACAAAGTACTCAAATCCATTACTTGAGTGAAAGTACAGATACCGCTTGTCAAATATGACTCCATTACAAAGATGCTGTCTAATCGCTCTCGCTGTACTTTGATGTCACACACAGAACGGTCTGTGCAGTGCTGCTTCAAGTCCAACACCTGTGTTTTATTAGGAGATGCACAACAGTTCTTCTGTGGCTTTATAGGTAATATTTTCACTTACACAATTTAGCAAAATCAGACAACATTGTGTCTAATATATACCACAATATTAATTTCTTATTATTGAATTGTTGTAAATAAATATCACATTTGCAGCTGGTCAGTGTTCAAAAGATGCTGGGAAATCACTTCATGTAGCCACAAGAGTGATTACTAATAAACTGTCTGAAAAAAAAAGACAGAAGAAAGAAATCACCCACTGACTTTCAAAGCTGCTAACAACTTTCTACTTCGAGGAGCTTGATAGAAATGTAGTGGAGTGAAAAGTACAATATTTGTCTTTCAAATGTAGTGAAGTTAAAGTCACAAGTTCCCAGAAAAAATAATACTCAAGTAAAGTACTGATACTCAAAAAGTGTACTTAAGTACAATACTCAAGTAAATGTACTTAGTTACTGTCCGCCTCTGGTTGTGTGTCACCGCAGTTAAATCGGTGTCTATCATGATAAAACCTTACTATCAAACCTATATAATGAGTTCAGAAATTTTGGAGAAATGCCTAATAAGCGCATTACACTGTAACTAAACCCATTCGATTTTAGCCAACTAAATTTACTGTAGATTTAGTCGACTAACATCTTTTGATATTTAGTCGGCTAAAACTAAAAACAATTCAGGTGACTAAAATATGATTCAAACTAAATGGCATTTTAGTCAAAAGACTATGACTAAAACTAAATAAAAAATTGCTGTCAAAATTAACAGTGCACTGAATGTCTTGTAGAGAAAACACAGATTTCTTTACCTGTGAGAAGTGAAGAGAGAACGATCAGTCCCAGCAGACACAGATGACACTCATCAGACATTTTCTCTTTCTCTCAGTCTTCCTCTTCATTATATGCTCTCAACTCTTTCTTTAAATGCTATCAGCTCCTCCTGTGTTTCTTCACTTCCTCTGATCTGACCGACTGAATCTGAAACTGAATCAAATCTGCTTGAGTTGCACTATATGCCAGTGCGTAATGGAGAAGTGTTGTCTCACATTTGTCTGAAACGTGTTCTTCAGTGTCAACCACACTAGCTCAACCCATATATGGTCTGAATCCAGCGTATTGACTTTATTTCTGCACACGAGTTGCGTTACTGTTAGTTTCACTTCTCTCTTTTAGCAGTTTCCTGCATGCTGTTACAATCTAGAAATAACATCATTAAATTATTAGTGATGAAAATGGTTTCCACATCAATTCCAGCTTGGTCAAACATAAAGTAATTGCACATGAGCAGTTTAGAAGAGCATTTAGAGACTGTAGAAGACTGTTGGATATGTGTGCTGTGACACAGGAAAAGTTGCTGTTTAAAGCACTTGAGAAATGCTTTTCCAGTGTATAATAGACCTTTTTCAAAGACTGTGATGATGTATTTCCTGCAACAACAAAAAAAAATCTTTTTTTTTCTCATTCTATTTTCTTTTTTTTAATTTCATTAAAAATATATATATACATTTATGACACTATGCATGTAGTATGTATGCACATTTATGGCTGTGGGAGTGATTTGACATATCCATTTACACAACCCTCTAACACTAGCATTGTCTATACTTTTTATATTCTATCTACTTGTGTTCTTTGTAGTTATTATAAAATATAATAATAACTTGACCCTCTAACACTAGCTCTGACCTTTTATATACTTTTTATTTAAAAATAACATTTTATAAAAAAAAAATATTTTACTGCATTAGACTAATCTGGGCTTGTCACAGCACTATATATTATATATTGTTACTCTTTTGTTGGTTTGATTGCTTCTATTGTTCTCATTTGTAAAGTCACTTTGAATAAAAGTGTCTGCTAAATGACTAAATGTAAATGTAAAATGTAAATGTAAATTTGACATTGTTTTCTCTTCTGACTGCCATTTGTCACAGTCTGTGTCATTCCTTGTCTTATGCCGAGTTCACACTGCATGGTTTTCAAAGACGTCGCATCACTGTTGGTTTCACACTGCGTGACTATCTGGGGCAGCATTCAGTTGCTGCTGTGTTCACGCTGCACGATGGAACGACGACAGGAGGTTACCAGTGTTGGGCAAGTTACTTCAAAAATGTAATACATTATATATTACTAGTTACTGTCTTTTGAAAGTAATTAGTTACATTACAATATTACTGTCTCTGAATTGTAATGCGTTACGCTACTTTTGAATTCCTTTCACCAAAATATCCACAGAAGTATTATAAAATGCCAAAATTTAGTTTATTGCTGCTCATTCTACACCCAGTGGAGGGTAATGTGGTTGGTCTATATAGCATACAATTATAAAATCATGTTTAGATACCGGTATGTAGGTCTACATTAATGTCACGTTGTAGTTTAGGTTAAACACGGATAAGCACAAACCGCATTATTACATTCATAATAATAATAAATAACACCAGTAAATAAAGCAACATGTTATAATGTACAAACAATAAACACAATGCCTAGCCCATAGGCTTATTTTGAACGGTTTCAGAAGAAAACAAGAATGAAAAATACAAGTTGCTAAACAAGCCAAAACGATTAGGCGTATTCAATGCGAAACTGAACGCAAACGGCGTTCTCGCGAAGCCTACCTCTATCATTCGGTATTAATCCATTAAATGTGTCCATAGTTGCGATGTATTTGAATGCTAAACTATTATTTATTATGTAAACCAGGCTTACTTAATGCGCTTAAAAAAACATCCTCGTCACATGAGCAAATGTGTGTTTGGCCCGAGCTCAGGCTGATCGGCACGAATTGTACTACGCAGTAGCCTATGCACTATTTAAATTAACCAGTGCATCTATATGTTTGGTTGACTATTTTATTCTGATAATGAACAGGCTGCAACGTTTGCAACGCTGTATGTGTGTGCGTGAGGTGCCGGCGCGATCGAACAGCGGAAACAAACAACAAAAAAATACTTTGTTATCTTTAGTCATACAGATCATTCGAGACTGCAATGTGTTTACTTTATTTCTGTCATCTCGGTTTCCTTTACGTGGCCTTTCGTAGAGCGTCGCGCCACACAAATAGCCTGTGAACCAAACTCAGCAGCATATCTCTCGGTCTTTTCCTTTCGTTTTGTTCATCTGTTAATTAGGATATTTAAGTCAAATATTTCGCATATTCATTCATTTTATATATACACTATGATTTAATAAAAACTGATTTTATTTTTAGTTAAACTTATTTTTGTTGCTTGTCTGCGCTCGTCCGCCACCTTTTTTCTCTTCTCTGACCCCGCAGCTCTCTCCGGTAGCTCAGTGTTAGTGACACCAGTCCAGGTGTTTCCAGGTTTTACTCGTGCTATTTCTCCATGTTGAGAGTTTGGTGTCGCACATATTGCACCTGACTATGCATTCTTATCCTTTTCTCCGATTAACTGAAAATAACAGGAGTGTGTCCATCTCACAAATGTAGAATCCGTCTCTGCAGTCATCTCAACCATCTAATCCAGCAACATAAGATATACAGACTATGTTACCCGCAGAATTTTTGCTCTGGTGCTGTTTTGCGGTGTTGGTAAATTCACCAATTCATTTTGAGTTAAAATATGTTGTTGTAACTTGCGTTACTGAGA